GGAAATTCATCAAAATCGTTGGATAGATTTTTTAATGATTACAATATCTCCTAATATATAACTATTTATACGAGAATTCAAAAAGTTACAACCTTTGCAATTATGTCTGGAGGATGATTTGAAACACACAAGAAAATAATCAGTTACTCCTTAAATTACTTTAATGCCCAATTTAAGCAATATACATTACTTTAGTACATATAAATTGTTAGTACATACAGGGTGTTTCAAGAAGAGCTTTACAACTTTGAAATCTTATATAAATTTATACAGAGGACATGCACAATGTTTTGAACTGTCATAATGTAGCGAAACACACCGAGTTTCATGCATGTGGTATGCTAGTACCTAATACAACCACCGTGAGCACTCCCGCAGTTGAAATCAAGACGGCTACTTTCACAGGTGCAGAGCGTGCTCATTGTGTGTTTTGGTTCGAAGAAACGAAGTCTGCTACACAAGTTCAAAGGCAATTTCGCACTCAGCATTGCAAGGAACCTCCCAGTAGGCCTACAATTTACTCCTGGCACAAGAATTTTGTCCAGACCGGATGTTCTGTGCACCATGCCAAGCCACCCGGTGGGCCACATGTTTCTGACACTACAGTGGAACAGATTATGGTGAGCTTCGTTCGAAGTCCACGAAAGTCAACATGACATGCATCTCAGGAAACTGGTATTCCAAATGTTACTGTGTGGCGAGTGTTATGAAAACGTTTACACTTAAAAGCGTACAAACTATCCATCAAGAAAGCAGTCTTCTGGGATTTGGCACCGTCTATATGTGGTGTTAACCGACGTTTCGGAGGAACGTATCACCTCCATCTTCAGGGTAGAAGGAAAAATATATGAAATCTGCATGCAAAGAGACCATGAGAACCAGTACAAGCATCGTTCAACACTTTACAGATGCAGATAAGGTGGTTCGTAAGGAATTCTGTATCCAAATGTTTAATCGGATACAAGACGATGACAAGTTTCTGGACTCCATAATTTTCAGTGATGAGAGCACGTTTTATGTCAGTGGTAAGGTTAATACCCACAACTGCAGGATCTGGGGCAGCGAAAATCCACGTGTCTCCCTGGAACATGTTCATGATAGCCCAAAGGTGAATGTGTTTTGCGCCCTCAGCAAAGAAAGAGTGTACGGCCCCTTCTTCTTCATGGAGACAACCATTACCGGTATCATATATCTGGACATGCTCCAAAAGTTTCTCATTCCACAGTTAGACAGAGATGACCAAGAAGGACGCATTCACTTCCAGCAAGACAGCGCACCCCTTCATTACCTTGGAGAAGTGCATGAGTACCTCAACACCCGTTTCCTAGGTCGTTGGATTGGTAGAGCAGCGCCGATAGCATGGCTGCCTCGTTCCCCAGATCTTACTCCCCTGGATTTTTTCTTAAGGGGATTCGTTAAAGATCAAATGTTCGAACCACCTTTGCCTGCAAATGTCGTTGAGCACCGAACTTGAATTACTGCCTCAGTTGCAGAAGTGACGCCAGAGGTGCTACGTAGCGTGTGGCAAGAGACTGACTACAGGTGGGACGTCTGCCGCATTACCAATGGAAGTCACCATTGAACCATAATCATCCGAGGTAAAACTCGGTGTGTTCTGCTACATTATGACAGTTATAACATTGTGTATGTCCTCTGTATAAATTTATATAAGCTTTCAAAGTTGTAAAGCTCTTTCTGAAACACCCTGTACTGTGGCATATAGACCTGTTGATAGGCAGGGACCTCGAAACAAATAATGACACAACAACAGTTGCTATGAAACAGCGCAGTAAACATGCCTCTACAACAATGGAGATACTGTTGGAAATGGTGTCATGCAATCCGTTGCTAGCCAACTGCAACAGCTGGACTAAAACAATAAAAATGGGGGGGGGGGGTCTATGTGGTCCATGACAAGCAGTTATCTTGAAAAGACAAATGGGGTGACCCAATCATTTGGTAGTTCGTAGTTCTTAGTTGTGAGTCAGTCTCTAGCTAGCAACATGGAAGCAGAAGAATCCCCACTGTTAGAAGCCGTCACCAGGGAACAGCTGATGAAGACACAACAGGCTGGAAAAAGGCTTAGCAGGTGCTGTGATGATTTGTAAGACATGGAGACTAGTGATAGCACTGTAATTACTCGCAGGTCTGAGTGGTGTGTGTAAGTGGTCTACAAATCAATTCACCAATCCATACCCTGTCCAGTGTCACACACCTAAATCATGACAATATGATAAATATGCTGATGTACGTGTATTCTACAGACATGAATTCAAAAAAACATGGATATGCACAGGGTGGTTCTTTTATCATCTGACACTCTTCCCAGTGGTCTCTTTCCTTCTGGCTTTCCCACCAATATTCTACATGGATTCCTCTTCTCCCTTATTCGTGCTACAGTTTGGAAAATTAAACATGCAGACAGCCACTCTATGTGAAGTAAAATGTAATTTTAACTTTTTGGTGGAATGAAGATTGGCAGGGGAAACCGAAGTATTCAGAGAAAACCCGCCCCAGCGCCACTTTGTCCACCACAAATCCCACTTGAGCAGACCCAGGATCGAACCCGGGCCACCGTGGTGGGAAGCCAGTTACTAACCACTTGAGCTATGGTGTGGCCCTTAATTTTAACTTACTTAATAAAATTGTTTACTATATTACAAAATTTTAAGCAAATTTATACAAATAAGGCAGTCACATTTCATACACCACTCATCACTGTGTCATTTTCTGGTTTGACTGCTTACCTGTGGATCTGTCCATTGCTGTGAAAGTACTCCAGCCCTTTCAGTACTTCTTTAAGAACTGTGGCAATAGTCGATTCATCAAAGACACCATGATGACAATTGGAGGATCGCGTTTTGTGTTTTATTATGTCCAGCAATGACCCTCCTTCCAACAGACGTAGTACTAACCACAGCTCTTCACGAACTACAAAGCTCGTGTAGTATGTTACAACATTTTCATGGTTGCATGAGGACATGGCTTGAATTTCTTTCTGCAAAAATACACAACTCCTTCAGTTATATTACATCTCCAACTGGAGAATGTGAAATGTTTTAAATATTTGGGTAGTTTGTTAACAGATGATGGAAGGTGTACTAGTGAAATTAAATCTGGGATTGCCATGGCAAAAGCTGCATTTAGCAAGAAGAAGAATCTTTTTACCAGCAAATTGGACTTAAATTTGAGGAAGAAACTAGTGAAATGCTACATTTGGAGCATAGCTCTGTATGGGGCTGAAACATGGACACTTAGGACAGTAGATCAGAAACATCTGGAAAGTTTCGAAATGTGGTGTTGGAGAAGAATGGAGAAGATCAGTTGGACCGATTATGTGAGAAATGAAGAAGTGTTAATTAGAGTCAGTGAGCAGAGGAATATCCTACACGAAATAAGAAAACGGAAGGCTAATTGGATTGGTCATGTTTTACGCAGAAACTGCCTTCTAAAAGAAGTTATTGAAGGAAAGATAGGGGGGCGGATAGAAGTGACAAGAAGACGAGGAAGAAGACGTAAGAAGATGCTGGATGACCTTGGGGACAGAAGAGGATACTGTCATTTGAAGGAGAAAGCTCTAGATCGCATTAAGTGGAGGAATTGTTTTGGAAGAGACTGTGGACCTGTCGTCTGACAGATTACTGATGATGATGATGATGAAAGTTTAGAACTTGCCTGCCATAGATTCTGGGAAATCCACAGAAAATCTCTCTATACAGTAATATCATCACATTGCTGCATGAGATTACGAGTTTGCACAATGTGGTTGCCAGTAGTATTAATTCTGTTGGTAGACAGATCAAGGCATAGGTAGGTGGACAATATTAGAATGGATCTTAGAGAGATAGGATGGGATGGTTTTGATTCGATTGATCTGGCTCAGGATAGGGACCAGTGGAGGGCTCTTGTGAACATGGTAATGAACCTTCAGGTTCCATAAAATGCTGGGAAATTCTTGAGTAGCTGCAGAATTGGCGTCTCCTCCAGAAGGGCTCAGTTCCATGAATGAGTGAGTAGGTAAGTAAGTAAGTTAGTAAGTAAGGTAGAGAGATCTGCCAGCAGTAGTCAGTAGCTGTCATGATTTACATGAACAATGCCTAGCTATAGGATCTTGCTAGAATCTGCATTTTGTATTCTTTCATTATTGGATGAAATGACTGGATTGCAAGGATGTAAAGGACAGCCCCTACTAATATATAAAAACAAAGGACTACTACGAAACTCCATGATTTATTTGAAAACACCAACTATGGTGTGTTCACATTTTCCATAAAACAGATTTCCAGTACTGAAGAATATCAAATTTATACAATCATCATGCAGAAGCTTTTAACAAATACATAATTTTAAAAACTGTCTAGATATTTACTTACTATTTTAAGTTTTCAACCTATCAACTTTCATGAGTTCATGAAAATAAACATATATTCTGTGAGTTATTAATGTTCTAATTTTCAGTCCTGAACAAAATTACCTAACAAATGTTACAAGTTTTCCTGCAAAAAATCATCACAAAATAAATATAACAGGGAATTTTAAACTCAGGAGATTATGAAGTCAACTTCTGATTACTTGTGTTTCTATACATCAGAGAGACTTTCTATTTTGCTTCCAGTTTCTTCACAGAAACTTCTTTCCCAGTTCATCATGGTTGTTTTCCACTTTGCACATACACTGCCCAAAAAATCATATATTTTCAGGAAAAAAAAAACTATGCAGTACAAGGCATTTCCTGAGAAGTCCGCAGGTACTTGACTACTTCATTAAGTTTCCTTGCTGTTATGTCTACACCATCACCACCAATGCCAACCACTGTATACATTTCTGAGCCAATTTACATCCCCACCAAGTAGCATGATATCAATTTTAATATCTTCATATCCATGTCTCAGTCTCCGCAATGATCTTTTGTTAGGTTTCATAGGCATTAAACATGGATTCAGAGAACACAGTGTATACTTAATGGGTGCATTCTACAGAATGAATTTCTAATGGCATCCACATTTTTGAAGATGCATGTAGCTAATATGAGGAAGGTGTTATTTTGTGATTCCTGTGGAATCTTATTTTAAATAAACATAATAAATAGAAAGATTGAATTTTTCTCTCATAATAAACACCTGGAAAGCTTCGAAATGTGGAGTTGGAGAAGGATGGAGAAGATCAGTTGGATCGATTATGTGAGAAATGAAGAAGTGTTATTTAGTCAGTGAGCAGAGGAATATCCTACACAAAATAAGAAAACGGAAGGCTAATTGGATTGGTCATATCTTACGCAGTAACTGCCTTCTAAAATAAGTTATTAAAGGAAAGATAGAGGGGTGGATAGAAGTGACCTGAAGACGAGGAAGAAGATGTAAGAAGATGCTGGATGACCTTGGGGACAGAAGAGGATACCCTCATTTGAAGGAGAAAGCTCTAGATCACATTAAGTGGAGGAACTGTTTTGGAAGAGACTGTGGATCTGTCGCCTTGACAGATTACTGATGAATGAATGAATAAACAAACATAAAATTCACACACAACCATTTACTGCTAGTTGATACTTATTCAGAGTGGTAAGAAGTGAAAACTAGGAACTGAATAAACCAACATATTAAGGTTTCACTGTTCACTGATATTACAGACACTAAACCAAAATTTTACATATATGTGGATGTACAGATCCACACATTCTTGACCTCGGCACTAAATGAAAATGAGTGGTCAGTTTCACGCACTGGCCGCTTTACCTCTGAGAAAAGGGCCCCAGTACCAATTGGATAGGAGGCTGGATGGACCACAGAGCTGGTGTAAACAATATGGAAAGGAGAAATATCTTGTCCCTACTGGAACACAAACTCTGACTCCTAAGCTCTCCAGCCCATACCCAGTCACTATGCTGACTGTGCTATACTGGCTCTCCATATGAGGGGGGTTGTGTGTATGTATCCACAGAACTTGTTTAAAACATGAGTGGGTGTATGGCATGGCCAACAATACTATACACATCACAACTTCTCTTCAATATCACACCCCAAAAAAATGGCTGAACAGCTCACATTAAGTATGCTTGTGTTTTGTGCCAGCCCACTCACAAACCCAAAGCCTCATCTTTTTTATTTTTTTAATGCTAGTGGGGTGGGACTAAGTCCCTTGTACTGTGGCCACTTCTGGCCTAGTGTACCATCCCCAGATGATAGGTGAGGGTGATTGTGGAGCAATTGGTGGAATGAAGATTGGCAGGGGAAACTGAAGTACTCGGAGAAAACCTGCTCCAGAGCCACTTTGCCCACCACAAATCCCACTTGACCAGACCTGGGATCGAACACAGGCAGCCACGGTGGGAAGCCAGCAACTAACCACTTGAGCTATGGCACGGCCCTAAAGCCTCATGTTATTACAGCTGCTGTATCTGTCCTGTGTGATAAGAAGACATGACTCAGTCATGTTATTTCTTGTGTGAAAACGCCATGTCAGAGTTAAATTTTTGAGTAATGAGTACTCATATACAACACCTATGTCAAAAGTGCTTATATAAGAAAACTAGGAAGATTCTGGCAAAAATTTCAGGTTCTTACAGCTCTGAACAGAAAAATCTGTTAATACACAAAGAAATTCAGACTGACAGAGACATTACTAGACAAAACCAACTGACACTGAGAGGTCACCAAAGACAAACTGGAAGTAATGTGTGCTAGGCCTGAACATGTGCCTCATAGATCTTTCAGGTGTCTTACTGAGGAGACAAGGTTCAATGTTTCAGGCTTCATGTATCAAGTTGATTCCGCTGCCAAAAAGGACCTTTAACATGTGAAAGTGAACATTCTGCAGAGGTGCAGGTGCAAGGAATGTGTGCTTAACAACGGGGACCATACCGGTATATTCTGTGATGGGGTGTGCTTTGCTTGTGGCATGTTAGCTTACAGGTTTGCAATCACATTGCAGGGTCCAAACAGAAACAGTTGATGCAAAGAGCTCATCCCTCTCCTGCTGGCCAGGGCAAACACTTATCAAGAAGCTCTAAAATAACCTTCCTGTATAAGTACCAATGGATAATAAACAGTCAGGACATCACAATTTTGCATCTTTTTCAAACAGACATATAACTAAAACTCAGGAAATCCATGACACATTGAAAACAATTTTAGTCAATATGCTAATAACACTGGTAGGTTAGATTTTGGGCAGTTATTAATTTTAACCTCTCATCTTCTTTAATCTTCAACACAGTAATTTAAACAGCATTCTCAATGGTGTCCTGCAGTAGTATCTTCGTGCATCCCTATAAGTTTTGAACTGAAATATTTAAACCTTTGTTAACTAATTATGTATATGAGATATTTTTATAATTTTTTCAAACAGAGCTGAAGAAATTCTGATTTCAATACACTACCTTATTAACTGAACCTCCTGTATATATGCAAAAAAAATTCAACTGTTAACAGCTCTTGAAACACTGATCCAATCACAACCCTGCATCAGATTCACTGTACCAATATCCTCTCTCTTTTGTTGTTTGTATTCTGAGCACATGACACATCTCCTACTGGTAGGGACCCTAGTCTTGAGATTTGTGGGATAAGGAGGCTTGGTAAGGGAGAAAGGGATGTAAACACACCCATCGACTGTGTATAGCATCAGTGCAGAACACAATGGACACTAGTGCACTTGTGTAGTGTTCAAGTGACCTGAATTAATGCAACTGTGTTCACATCTCTATGAAGTACAAAATCATTTCAGATCATGGAGACCATTGACACAATTTAATGTGTGTGATTTTGAGATTCTACTGCAATAACTGTGTTCAGGTTAAGTGTCTAAATACTGCCACCTCCACAGAATGTGGAGATATGGAAATAATCACAAAGTTTAACTGAGAAACGTGAGTAGGAAACACATTAAAAACAACTGCTGCTGCTGTTGAGTAATATGACAACAGAGAGGGCTAAATGTTCACAGAGAAATTGCAGTCATCTATTTTAAGAATCGGGACGAAACACGAGCAAACGAATGCTACAATTTGGCACAGCTTCTCACATCACCAGGAAACAAGATATGAAAAAATTCATGTAATCATATGTTAGCAGATAACTTTGTTAAATGTAGTATCAGAAATACAATTTACAATTTCCATATTCTGATAAGAGAAGTGCCCACAAAACCAAAGCTGCTACTCATTACGAAAAATACAAAATACATTTTCACTGAGCCATTAAGTTACTGGAGAGAGCTGTAATAGCCTGGGACATAAATGGACAAAATTCCAGTTGAATATAAAAATTGTCAGAAAGAGACCAGAAATTAAGACATCTTATAAAAATAATGGAATACTGGGATAAGGGACATCCTATATTTTATACTGATAAATCATGATGGCAAAACGAAGAGTTATGCATCCAGACTAACGTAAACTCAGCAAACAGGCATCATGTTGCATGTAGGAGAAATTTGTGGGTTTGCTCCTAATGTCAAACTTATTTATAGGCAAGAAGTGCAATGGGGGACTATCATGGACAAATGAATACCACAAACTTTGTAAAATGGACTGTAAGTAACTGTCCTTGACAATGCACCTTATCAGTCTTCAGACTGACGAATAACCCCATCAGCCTGAATTCCCCACTTCCCAAAAAAGATATTAACTGCAGTGAGACCATGCAAAAATGTGTGCTGTAAACCTAATTCTCCCATTGAAACCTAAAGAGAAGATCTGCGATATTGACATCTTCAACAAATATGGTCATACACTGGTTAAACCAACCCCTCATATGTGCAATTTGAATCCCACAGAACATTCATGTGGCAAGATAAAGTTAACAGTGAGAAGCTTAGCTTCAGCTTTGAACAATGCATCACAATACTCCAGGGAGAACTGCACGCCACCAAGGCATGTGCAGTGGAGAATTCAGATATGGGCTACCTGCATATTCTAGCAGACAGTGGAGCCACAATTAAAGCGCTTGACAACTACCAGTCCAACTGAAAATGGTCTGGGACTGGCATCAAACTCTTGTAAAACTGGTTGAACATAACAGAGTTCAACCAATATGGGTTCAGGTCACAGAGGTACTGAGGGTAATGAAATTGCCAATTAACTAGAAACTGAATGTCATTTTATGAGGCATGAACTAGCATGCAGCATCTCAGCAGGGGTTGTGACATCAGACTGGACAGAGATCACAAAAAGTGAACGACCCCCAAAACAGGGCTCAAACATGCACAGAATTTCCTACAAGGACCCTATGCCAGAAGAACCAAGGAACTGTAAAACTGAATAGAAACCAGTTACAGAACTACTTACCTGAAAGGACACCTTTACAAACTGAGATTAACCTACAATCCCACCTGTGAATTGTTCATGGAAAAAGACTAATCAGCCTCACATATCCTGTGATTGTGAGGCTATAGCTTACTCAAGATTTTGTCGTGTGGGACACTACTTCACAGAACCAGGTAGCTTCCAAGACACCCCTTTAAGATACTACACTTCATTCAAAGCAGTAGATCGTTGATGGACTGAAAAAGAGGGGGACACACAATAGATCGCTGATAGTCATGCTGCAAGAACCAGTGAAGGCCCACCCTTTATACATTTATTCAAATGTGCATGAAAACGTCGGGGGATATCTGAGCCCGCAAAAGTTACTATAAGTCACAAAAGCTACTGTGGTACTTCTGACAAAGAAAGACTTGTAAGAGTTCCACAGACACACAGAAACAGCTAGAAAGCAAGTAATATTGGGTGTCTGGACGAAAGTTATCCAAAATAAAAATTTATATCTCAGAAAGTAACTGTCATACATGTACTCAGTTTATGTCACTGGAAAGGAAAACCTTTTAAGTTTTTTTTCCATGCCATGCTTACGCGCATGCACCGCCACATTTCTGCCGCCATGTTAGGAATCACGTGGAAGGAGAGATGGGTGGGAGATAGATCGGCAGAAGTGGATCAATCACTTGGCCTCCTGGGTTGTCAGATTTAACCCCACTGAATTTTTTTCTTGTGTGGTTATGTGAAGAACATTGTCTACCAGGTTAAGATCAACAAGCTTCAACACCTGAAAGCCCGCATAAGGGACACTGTGGCTATGGTAACAGAGAACATGCTGGATCATCTGGATATTTGTATTGTCACCAAGTAAGCCCACGTTGAAATTTATAGAAGTTATATACTCAGAAAAAATCTTTGATAGTTTCCATTTGTAGTGGTGTAACCCATAAATGTGTATAATAAAAGCTTTCTGAGATATAACTATTTTATTTTGGATAACTTTCATCCAGACACCCTGTATTGTATTTTACCATCATACTGTGTGAACTATTATATGTTCTGTCAACATGATTCCTGTATAAATTGATCATATGCTGTTTCCATTCTACAACATATTTTGGTCATGTAGGCCATCATCAGGCAAGTAATTTTACATTAACAGTCATTTATAAATTATAGTTGGAACAAGCAGTAATATTTGTGATTACACATGACACTGGGGAGCCAGGATAGCTTAGTCGGTATAGCAACTGGCTATGGGCTCGACAACTGAGGGGTCAGAGTTTGAGTCCTGGTAGGGTGAAGAATCTTCTCTTCTCCATGTCATACAGACCAGCTCTGGAGTCCACCCAGCCTCCTAACCAACAGGTACCGGGGGCTCTTTCCCTGGGTGTGAAGCTGACCACTCACCTCCAACTAGTGCCAAGGACAAGAAAATGTTGAACTATACACCCACTCCCCCATACACCTTCATGGTGTAGCTCTTAACTAGTTAAGCACCAGGACAACTTTACCCTTTACACATGACACTGCTGGCCATAAACTGCCCTTACTTCATCTGCAGTACTGGCAAACAAAACTGCATACCTAGAAACTTGACACCATTACTTAACTTACCAAGCATAACCAATTGCTTCTTTTTCATACGTTATTTAATGATGCCTTCAGTATGAAGTCTATATAGCACCAGGTAACTGGTTACAGTTTTACTGGAGCACAGGAAAATAATATTATGAACTCATTCTTTTATGACTGAACGGTTCTCTGACACGATTTGTAAAACACCATATCCTAATATACATGAGACCTATGTAAATAAATTACCAATAATTCATCCATGCTCGTATTCCATTTTTCGAGATTTATTCGTTTGATGGCACATTTTTCTTGTCTTGGTCTACAAAAGGCACCATGGACTACAGCAGTTGCACCAACACCTACAGTACAAACAGAATTTGTGTAAATCTAAGCAGATATACTAACGCTTATAATGTAACTCACATCCTTTTAAGTTACAAAGCGGTGTCGGCATTCGTGCCTTTCACGCATTGCCATTAACTGTACCTTATAACAGATCAGAGTTTTAGAGACCTATCTTCAGGCGCACAAAACAAATTAAGCCATATATATAAACACAGATAAATTTCCTCCTTTCGTATCTGTAACAAATGTTTCACGAATCGGTACATTACTGTTTTACTCCATTCGGTCGTACACATGTTTTCGATCGCTTTAGTAACTTTGTGTGACGTACGATCGGTGTCAAGCTAACAAATAATTACAGAAAATAACAATATTTAATACAAACTAAAACAGTAATAAAATGAAGCGGAACATACAATACTGAAATCACACTAACCAATTACTTCCTTTAGTTCATAATCATCTTTACTATTGGGCCATCCCGTTAGCGATCCGCCTGCACCAGTTACCGCCATCTTGTGGGCAAGAATGCCACCAATGCTCGCTCTGGTGGAATGAGAGTTAAACGGTGGAAGATCAGCATTGGATGATTTGCGCCGAAATATCCCTGGAGAACCGGGGGGCATCAGTCCCGGTGATATTTTCCTAAAATTAGAGATGAAAGAGCACACTAAATTCATAAAAAATCACTCATAAAATAAAACGTTCGTATTTGAAATCACAAGATATTACAAAGCAAACTCGACCTTATGTTCTCTTAACGTAAGTTCCACAATTGTAACACTTCCTAATATACTGCACCACCCCGTTGTCCTGCATTTCTAAATTTTAAAATATTTTATAAGTAATCTGCACCTTTAAAATGTTCAGTGAAGCAGCGTGATAACGGGGCAGCAGTTACCTCTACAGCTTGTACACCTGATGACGATCAGTTGGGCCGAGTCAAGGAATTCTTTTGGGTATTCATGAAGCATCAGATCATGTCTTACGTTCTTAATTTCGTTGCTGAAATCTTCCTGACCCTGACATATGCCCTTGGCTCGACTGATCAAACTATGAACGTTTCCCCGTTTTACGTGATGTGGGTGGCTGGTTTAGAAGTGCTGATAACAATAATTATGAGTAGGTTTCCGTTACAATTTCTTGGTCAATTACGGTCCCCTTTTCATTACCAAAACGTTCAAGAACAGAGGAGTATCATTAGCTGCAACTGTCATTATGAATTTGATGGTACGTCGAACGCTGTTGAGGTGGTAAAGAAATTGCTGCAATCTTTACTAACTAAGGTGACTAAACTACGAAAGTATCTGAGACACTGAGCGGGTTTGTAGTCTGCTGATGCCAACGCCATTTCCTGAGTGGCCCATAAATATGTTACTGACTATCGGATATAGCAAGTTTCTAATTCCCAAACCTTCTTTCTGCTGATGGAATTTATCCCCAGACTGGAAGTACGTAGTTGTTAAACAGACGTACAGTATTTCCTTTATACTATATTCAGCCTGCAAAGGTGAGCGTTCTGGAAAAGAAGGATCCGTACTGTGTCTATTTCTTATGGCCTGTAAGACTTCTTCTACTGGTACATTAGTGAACAAGCTGACGTCAAAACTTACAAAGTAGTCGTCGTTCTTAATGTCGATATCCTATATTGATTTTATGAAGTGTTCTGAGTTCTTCACGAAGGACTCCGTGTTGCCAATTAGAGGGCTCATGATCTTATGGAGAAATTCCAATAAGGTAAACAGGGAGTGTCAGTAGAGCTAGCTACTGCTAAAAGTGGGATGTCAGGTTTGTGTATCTTGGGAAGTCCACAGAGATGATATGGTTTACTGTGGGAAGGAGTCAAATTATTTTAAGGCAGAGAGGAAGGACAGGTTTGTGTTTGTTAAGAAGTTTCCGTAACTTCCACTCAATCTGAGGTGTGAGATTCTCAAGTAGAATTTCATAAACCCCTGATTCTAGCAGGCTGGATACCTTCTCCTTGTATGTGGGCTCGTGCAGATTCCTCTGTCAGTCTGTACAATTCGTATTATCTCTAATCCTCCCACCATTCGTCTTTATAACGTGGTAAAATGTAAAAAGATAAAGATATCCCCGTAACAGGCCGTTGAGGCGCATAATGTTGTGAGACGTCGAGGCTCCCACATTTTCTCTAGACAATCGGCCCACAGATGGCGATAAAGTTATCAGCCTAATGCGCCGGCCGCCCTTTATCCCCCAGGAATATTCCTGGTACTCATTTCTGTTAAAGACTGAGTCGACCTCAGAGCCATAGTGCTTCTGGAAGAATTAGGTCAATTGAAAAAATCCACCTCATCGGGATTCTAACCCGCGACCTTCCGACTTGTAGCATAATGCCTCGACCAACTACCCTACCGCTTGCCCCCTTGATAGCGTGGTGCGTAATTAATTAAGCACAGGGGCAGTTTTGAATATTTGTCTGGAAGTTTTAACCTCTATTATCAAATACTTTTGATGTTCGATTCTATGAATTCAACAGCTTCGAGTGATCCCAATAATTTTCATCTTCTCTCTACCGAAGCAGTAGAACGGTATCCTGACTTAAAGAGCAGTACCGGACTCACTTGGTCCTCCGGGCTTCGGGGCATCCCCCCCTCCCCCCGTTCAGTCTCGTCGGCCCTGCAGTCACCGTTAGTTTACGTTTCATCTTTCGTGGGTTATTTAAAGATGGTCTGAATACTGAGACTAGAGACCGTCGGTGTTTTATATTGTTGCAATTATACTCCTCTCAAAGTATAATTACATGTAGAATGATTAAGTCAAGGAGGATGAGAGGGACAGGGCATGTAGCGCGAATTGGTGAGACGAAGAATGCATATAGAATATTAGTGGGAAAGCCAGAAGGAAAGAGACCACTGGGAAGACTAAGGCGTAGGTGGGTGAACAATATTAAAATGGATCTTAGAGAGATAGGGTGGGCTGGAATGGATTGGATTGATCTGGCTCAGGATGTGGACCAGTGGAGAACTCTTGTGAACACGGTAATGAACTTTCGGGTTCAATAAATTGCTGGGAAATTCTTGAGTAGCTGCAGAATTGGCTTCTCCTCGAGAAGAGCTCAGCTCCATGGCTAAGTAAGCAAGTAAGTATTTTTTATTGCTAGTGGGGTGGGACTAAGTCCCTTGTACTGCGGCCACTTCTAGCCTATAGTACCAGCCCCAGATGATAGGTAAGGGTGATTGTGGAGCAATTGGTGGAATGAATATTGGCAGGGGAAACCGAAGAACTTGGAGAAAACCTGCACCAACGCCACTTTGTCCACCACAAATCCCACTTGACCAGACCCGGGATCGAACCCTGACCGCCGCGGTGGGAAGCCAGAGACTAACCGCTTGAGCTATGGCGTGGTCAAGTAAGTAAGTAAGTAAGTAAGTAAGTATATGTATATTGCTATTTACGGAATAAATATTATGGTCTGCAACATCTGTGTCTGAAACATCTACAAGGCGCGTCATAATCGGAAAATGACGGAAATTTTTACGTTAACATTAGAGAGCTATCAGATTCTATTTCCAATATCTCATGCGAACCATCACGTGGCCATACTGTTGGTTCCTACATGCAAAACCCCACTTGGCCCAATAAATCATTTTAACTTTCAAGCTCCCTGTTATAGGGAGCTGCATTACGGCAACGAAAAGTATTTTCCCATCTCATCAAGCCAAGAAAGATGTAAAATTCGCTGGGAGATTTACTTTAATTCTAAAGCAGAGATGTAGAAACGGAAAAAGAAGTGAAGGAGTGAAGAGTATTTCAGTTAATCTGTGTTTAATTTGTGTGATGGCTGTGCGCTGTTCTGCAGACACAAGCAGAAGGGCCTAAGAAGTAAGCCTTATCAATTTCAGATCGTCGCCTTTTCTTAATATTTTTGCTGTCTGTTTTCAGCCATCTTCGAAAGCAGAGACTCGCTTCTCAGAAAGCCACATTAGCTTCATTTTTCCCCCCTTGGCACTACAGCCCCAGTGGGCCTAGGCCTACCTCCATGAACTTCTCCATTCACTTCGGTTTTTCTAGATCTTACACATTCGGTAGGACTCCTTGGGCGGGTGATCGGTTCGTCGCAAGGCCTCTACCTGTACATAAACACAGAAAAACGCACACATACAAACTAAACATCCATGCCCTGAGTGGGATTCGAACCCACGATCCCGGTTTCCGAGCGAGCGAAGAAAGTACATGCCTTAGCTTCATGTAGTGTACATAATTTCCATAAACGAGGCTCTAGGGACCGAGCTGCGACTATGAAACCATCAGGTTATACCTACAACGTAGGATATGACACAGCCTAATACCAGGAGATTGTAACATGGCGTTTTACATAGTCGTAGTGCGCTATCCTCAGATAGCGTCAGTATTGTCCGTCTCTTTGCATATTATTGTTCACATCCGTAAGAAATGAAAGGATTTTTTGTACGTCTGATACTGGATGCCTGCCATGAAAATTCATAGATGAGTTTAATTTTGCTTGAATGTTCAATATTCCTCTTAATTTCAATGAAGTCCACGTCGATGAGGTTCTGATGCTTTGAAAGGCCTCAGCTTAAGAAAGTAGCACAAAAGTTCCATAAAACACAGACCTTACTAAGATATAAATACGAGTAATAGGGCTTACATGTAACATTTTTTGTTATAGTGAATAAGTCTTGAAAGAAAACACAATGAAAAATAGCTATTTCACACATGTAACATGTTACTGAAAATTCTTCATTTTGCTCTAAAAACGAAGTCCTCTGTCAGTACAGGCTTTACAGAGCAGAGCATGCCTAACTTACGTATCTTATGCTACAGCGGCAGCTTAGTCTTTTGAAAAGTCGTAAGCTTGCCCCACACCAAGTTTAAGCCTCTTATATTTTCTATGTCTGGCTTCACCTGTCCTATATTGCGAACATGTTCATTCTCACGATTTTGTATAACTTATGCTTGCCTCGTTGTCAAAGTCAATATCACATTGCGACTGACGGTCAGTCAGTCAGCAAGTCTTGGTGTCAAGCACCATCTGGGGCTCATGACCAGTATTTATTACTGTTTGACAGTTACAGTCTTGTTATTGTGGGGTGCCCTCTCTGACGAGAGGGTGTATATGCTGCTGGCCCCTGCCAGCGCAGCCTTTCTCGAATCCGAGTCCCTTGGGACTCACGACCATACTTCAATGCCTCAGATTTTAAACTTCGCTTTTCCTCGCCTCCTACGACTCGCAGGGTCACAGTGCAGGTATTCGACCCATCATTCACACGGGTTTATATCGTTCAAGTCAAGTCAAAGTCAAAGTCACATCAGTCAGTCAGTAAGTCTTGGTGTCGACCCCCATCTGGGGCTCATGACCAGATATTATTTATTACCGTTTGACACTTGAGGTCTTGTTTCTCTGGGGCGCCTTCTCTGACGAGAGGACGGGTCTATCTTTTGTATATGCTGCTGGTCCTTGCCAGCGCAGTCTTACTCGGTTCCGAGTACCTTGGGACTCGCAACCGTATTTTACTGTCTCAGAATTGAGACTTCCCTTTTCATCGCCTCCTACGACTCGCAGGGTCACGGTGGAGGTATTCGACCCCGCCTCCACACGGGGTTTTCTTATATCGTTCCTTCAAGCTGTTCTGCTTATATGTCGGCACGGAACACATAGA